TACTTAATTTAATAAACGTTTAATATTTACTGAGATTATACAGTTACAATACAATGAACAATGACATTTATATGGTGCCGAAACATGGACGGTCACTAAGGAAACTGTGCACCGAATACGAGTTGCACTAAAGGCCATGGAGCGCGCAAAATTGATTAAAATAAGACTTACCGATGACATGAAATACCACCACGGGTAATAGTTTTGGTACGGCTATCATATTTGGGCACTCCAAAACAGCATAGTATATAATATATAAACATATAATATATAAATATATAAACAGCATATTATAGAGAATTTGCACGAAATAATTGTCACAACCATGCCTTACAAAGCGATAATGGCGGACCGAGCCCCAGTAGGCCTCATTAGACCTACCTACTGTTGGCACGCGTGTGATGCTAACTAACCATTTCTACTGTGTTTATTGTTCCGTCGAGCGAGATCCGGGTCGACGACATAATCATTTTTGTAGCAGCAGAGCTCCTTCTGAAAGAGTTCTTCCAGGGAAGTACTTACACTTTGCGTGCGTTATTCCAACGTGACCACGGACGACTTTTTGAAATTTCACTAGCCAGATAAAAAGTCGCTATTTAGTCGATTCTAGTCGCAAAAAAACTAGACTTAGTCGCTGCCGCCTTACCAATTTCTGCCGCCAAGCAGTAATGCGAGCATTACTGCGTTCCGGTTTTGAAGGGTAAGGTTGCTGGTGAAATGACATGACAGGCATATGATACTTATCAACTTGTGTCTCGGTGACGGGCGCAAAGGCAATGCCCCTCAGACCTTGGCGACAAATAGCTCAAAGTGGCGCTACGCGCTCTTAGGTATAAAATGGAGGATTATACCTCCATAGATTGTCATTATTTACAGTGATTCCGTCTTTTTTGTGCCACTCAACAGTTCACATCAATGGAATTACGAGGTTTACCTATTTACACATTTCAAAATACACCACTGACAATCACACGCAATCAATGTGTTATTGTCAATTGTCAACAGAAGTCACAATTATATAGATATAAGGCATAAGAACGTGTATCGCTTGTTACTAGGGTTCAAAATCATCAATATATTAATTTTCTTTGATAATTATCCGATAATAACTTTTCTCCTAAATTTTTGACTAAAAATTACAAACAGCAGTGAGAAAACTAAATAAATATCAAGAAAAATCTGAGGCAAAACAATTTGGCTTATGACGTTTTTGAGATTGACATTTGGCACGTCTGAATACGTCTCAGATACAAACACATGGCACGATGTCGCTATCGGTAGCATTTTGTTGTTCCAAATTGATTTAGTTACCGAGGTATATTTATCAAAATAAGTACAGAACCCTGTTTGTTACCAATACACGTAATCATAACGGAAATTAAATGCTCATGACAAAAAATTACCTACGAAATTAGTTTAATAAGACACATAACATAAATTAAGAAACAATACATAAGTTACAGTCTTCAATTGTACTTAATTAAATGAGCGTCCTGTACCCAGCAGTGGGCTGTATCATGAATCGATATACGTGGCAAGTATATGGACTAAAAAACTTCTGTGACAAGTCGGGACTAGGTCAAATATAAACAACCAAAAATATTGCACACCAATACCGTACAATAATCCTTATTGACAACGAGACCACTGCTCGGCAGTGGGCTGTCGTTCAATAGTCAAAAATTCTTTGCACAATCCACCCGCTAATAAACGTTCGCGCGTCCAAGGGCGTCGGTGCTTTTACGGGTTGTAGAGCCGTCGGGTGCGCGGCCTTAAGGTCGCACCGGCACTAGCACTAACACCTGCATCTGCACCGGCTGCACCTGCGTACAACGTACATCAATTAATTTTCACTTCTTATGCTTTATAAAAGTAAGTCAATGTAGTTTTACGTAGCGGGAGTAGAGTGCATGCTTTAAATCCTAGGGAGTAAAAGGAACCTAGTTTTTTAATTGTTGTATATTGTGTGGAAAAAAAATGTCGAGTGATTCAGACGAACTCAAACAGCCAGTGTTTGCTCGGGATCATGCTAAAAGGTAAAAGTTAAAATAATCACACAAATATAACAATTAAAATTTAACATTATTCATGGAAGTAAATAAACTTTCAATAAAAAAAAAGATATTTGTGATTGCCAAAGGCCCCTAATCGTGGCGTTTTGTTTCGTGATTTTGTTGTAGAGCATAAACGATTGAAATATTTTTTTCTTGCAGTCGAAGTGAAACGTGAAGTTTTGACCTCATGAGTAAAGGCCGATATAAATTCTCGGAGTGGGAGACACTCTCGCTCTCGGGTATATATTGACACGTTTTAGTCGGGTTCTTAGATTTTCGCGACCGAGACACAGGAAATGAAACTTTTTTGGACAACACGGAACAATAGTAGATTGTACAACAAGTGCATATAACGCGTCATTTCGAGACGAGTATATGTGGACACTTAAGTCGATGGTAAAATGGGTTTTATGGACGAGTCATATACTTCGCTTTTCACTTCGATTGCGAAGAAATCAAACAGCAATATCACAAATAAACGGTTTTATTTTATGCGCTAGAGCGTAAAATCGTGTTTCATGCAGCCTACACCCAGCATAAATACGACGTTTAAGAGCACGAGAAGTGGAAAGCGTTGTGAAAAGAACTTCACCCGGCTGCGAGGCGGCGGCGGGCGCGGGGGTGGAGGGGCGGGAGGGGCGGAAGCGGCGGGCGAAGCGGCGCGTCACGTCGCTGTAGGAGAGCGGCGCGCTGTCGCCGGCCGTCGCGGAGCGCGTGCGCCGGCTCGGCGTCTGCGCAGGCGCCGGCTCGCCTGTTCCACGGAGCCCAGCGTTCCGTACGTCCGTCGTACCTTGTTAAACAGCAACCCGCGCGGTTCGTACCGAATAACGATAAACAGTTCTTTACTTTTTATATTCATTAGTAATAATGGATTACATAAAAATACCCTATTCAGTAATACGAGAACGTCTACTGTCATTTTTTTTATTCGTACATGACAGCTCCTACGCTACGTTGAGAGGATTGTATTTTATACTGTATTTGTATTTTCTTTTTTATTTCTTTACGTTCGTTAGCTGTTCTCTGTCTGACGTCATAGTTAAGAATGATGCGTTAAGAACGATATTAAATTTAAATGATTATCACTAGTATCAGGTTTCTTACCACGGTATGACTTCTTTTTATTTTCCCGATATTAAATTTCATATTGTATTGAATATTGTATATGTTCTCTTGAGATACCAAATAAATAAATATGTTAATTTGCAATTTAACTTTCGTATTTTATTGACCTTGAAATACTAGTTTGTACTGGGACATAGATTACGACCGAAACCGAGAAACCGGAAAAATATAGTCGGGCCATCTTTAGCAAGGGTATTCTAAAAAGATTGAGTATCGCGGACTGGCATATGTTCCTGATTTTCGACCGATGATGCGATATGACAAATTCTTTACAAGACCCAAAAAACACAAATCGCTCATTTGGTGCTACATTCGCATAAATGTAATTTTAGCAATTGAATTAAGTATAACACACCTGTGACGTAATAAGCATTTACATTTGAAGACAAATCGGCAGTTATTTAAAGGACGAGGACCGATGCAAAATGGAGGCACGCCATAACCTTAAACTGGCATGTCCATAAGCTACACATGGCGCATTTAAAAGCACATACAACCTAAACTTTGAATCTATTCTTCGATTTACATTTAAAGCGGCGGATTTTTATATATATGTATGTCGGAGTGACATCACGAAGTAAACTGCAAACAGCGCATTTAATTATAAACCTCGTTTGGAGTTATTCATTGGAAATGGAACTTGCCTGAACGTAACACTAACTGATCGAAAATGGAACGCAACACCTAATGTTGCAATACTGTCGCTCCTGGCATCACCGAAGCGATGATAGTATTCCGCAGGTTAGCCAACGGTGTAGGGATTAGGCAGGCGGGGTAAACCGCGCCTGCAGTCAGTCTTAATCATTTGAAATAGACTCGATGTGCATCCTAATTAAAGTTGTATCATTCGCGATATATTACCACAGTGAAGTGTAAAGAAGTTCAGCACACGCAATTAACTGATTGTTGTTCCAAGATGTATGGAAAGACGACACGAGTCTACATACCACACCAATATGATTCAAAGTTCATAGCATTTAAGTTTGTTTCAAAAGAGCAGTCCCTAGAGTTTGTTGCTCGTTCTTTTTAGGGAAGTCAGCATTTTTGAATGAGCAGTAGTAGCTTTAAAAATGACGATAGAATAAATGGTTATTTGACTTTGACATTGAGTGACATTTTTATTTCTAAACCGCCGCAAATTATGGAAGATGTCTGTAATCTGTAAATGACGTCCATAGTACCCTTTGTTATATATTTAATAATTAAAAAACAACTTTTCTTAACTGTCTAATATTCGGATTATTAATTTTAATAATCCGAATTAATTTGCTGGACATGTTAAGATGTCAGTAATACAGTAATGGTCAACATCCTTTACACATGTCGGAGTAAGACCGTAAAGGGAGGCGTTGAGGCAACTTCCTTCGTCACTGGTTGTGCCATTGCATTTAATTCGTTTATTTTATTTATATTTTCGTTTAAATATTCGTTATATTTAAGAATGAGGTGTCTTCTTTCCTACAAAAAAGGAATCATCAAAATCGGTTCACAAAGAAGCCGGAGTTATTGCGTAACATACATACAAAACATATACAATCGAATTTAGATCCTTCTTCTGTTTTTGAAGTCGGTTAAAACAGGTTTCAAGTGCCACGCGGCAAATTTACAGAAACAGCATTAATCTATTTTTAACTCACTGACACACGGAAGCCATCTCGTCAAGTTCGCGTATGTTTATAAAACATTGACAGTGTTTTCAACTTCACTCCTTATTTTGATACGGGAAACCTGCTAACAAGGACTATGTCCTAGGACCGCGTACTAATTAAACTGAACAACAGACTTTTAGTCTGTTTTCTGTTCAAGATTTAACCTTTCGTAAAGTACAATACGCAAACAATATGTCGAATTTTGTTACGTTACGTTTAAAGTGAAAACTGTTTTACTGTCGCGCGTTGACTTCCAAATAAATGGACGACGGGTCTAATACCAAAACCACGAAAAAAATGTCCCAAGTCCTATTTAAACGTAGTGACATGTAAAGGAATATGAAAAAGCTAAAACGTTAAATTTAAATTGTAATGTCATCGCAGTATCGCGCTGTCAGTGGAACAAACGAAGACTAAAGCGGAGTTTGACGCTCTGTATACGATTTTAACGCCTTACAAGTTCGGACACTTTTTAGCGCGGACGTCCGACGTCCATATAATTGTAAGTCAACGCTGTCGCGTCGTAAATTTGTCGAACAATGAAGAGATCTCTTCGAGTCCACGACGCGGGCAGTGCAGCGCCCAACGAGCGCACTGCCGTCCGCAGCTGAGACCTACTTGGCTTGTGCGGGCCCCGGCGCGGGCCGCGCGGGCGCGCGAAGTCGGAGTCCGAGCCGGAGCCGGAGGGCGAAGCGGGCGAAGAGGGCGAAGAGGGCGAAGCAGGCGAAGTGGGCGCGGCGCGGGCGCGCCCCGACGCGCTGCTCTGCGCCGGCGCGGCGAACAGCGAGTTGCGCCGCCCGACCGGAGGGCGACGGCGCGACTTCAGCATGCCTGTCGCGGCGCCACGCGACGTGCAAAAACCATTGTAACTTTTTATACATTCATCTCAGTACAGAGTGTTTCAAAAGTTCGTGGAATTACATCTATTTGCCAAGTTTTAATGAAATCGGTTGCCGGAAAGCGCGCGATGCCCGCCTGATCCCCTAGTTTGCCACCCTTGGAGCTGCAATATTTTCTTCAAATTTAAACGGGCCCGATGCAGACCCTCTCTCCGGCAAAGAAATCAAAATCGTATATAATAATAAATCATCATCAAAATCGGTTCACAAATGTTATATTTCAGAGTTATCGCCAAACGTACAAACAAAAAAAACAGTCGAATTAAGAATCTCCTCTTTTTTTGAAGTCGGTTGAAAAACGATCTCGAAATTTGCGTTCGTTACGTCTGCCCGCCGTGTTTTATTGAAACCGGCTAACGGGAAGCGGGACCCGCGTTTCGTCAAAAAAGAACCGTCGACATTTTAGTGTCACTCACCGAGCGCGGCCTTGGCCCGCAGTCGCCGCACCTGGTGCTGCGGCAGCGCGAACGAGCCCAGCGCCGGCAGGATGTAGCGCAGGTAGCGGTTGCGCAGCGAGTGCCACGACCGCGCTGCCCACACACGCACAGAGGTAAGTCAATCGATTGGACCTTCAGTGCACACGTCATGTGGCGTGGCGTTTCTAATATACATTCTTTTACAAATTCATCGGCTTCAAATGTGTATTTCACTGTTGACACACAGTGAGTAAGGGTCTTTGAGAAAAATACGCAGGAGCCAGCGACCTCGCCATGCCGTAGTTGATATAATAAACTGATTACACATTAATATTGAGTTTTATCTTTTCATTCTACATCCGAAACTGTAACCCTGTGCCTAACCCCCCTAACTGTGCCTAATCCCCCCACCGCGTTTATTATTGAGTTCGCTAACATCCGCGGACTCCACTCCAACCTCAAAGCTGTCCACCATCACCTCGAGACAGCCCGGCCTGCCCTGCTTTTCCTGACGGAGACGCAGATTCGCCGTCCGAATGATATGAGTTACTTGAACTACCCCGGCTACTCGCTTGAGGAAAACTTTCAGGCCAAAGCCGGGGTATGTGTATATATTCGTTCGGATGTGTGCTGTCGCCGTCTGCGCTGCCTGGAGGACCCCTCCTTTTCCACTATGTGGGTCCTCGTAGAATCTAGTTATTCAGCTAGAGTCTTCGCGTGCTTATATAGATCCCACAGCGGGGATGCGGAGACAACTAGGCTCTTTGACCAACTGAGCCAGGCGACTCTTGACGCGCAGGTGCAGTTCCCATCTGCGGAGATGGTCGTGTTGGGGGACTTTAATGCTCACCATGAATCATGGTTAAGTTCCCTCAAGACTCACCATGCAGGAAGAACTGCCCACGCTTTCGCTCTCACGCATGACTTGACCCAACTGGTAACCCAGCCCACCCGGGTTCCAGACATATCGGATCATGCACCCTCTTTGCTTGACCTTCTGCTCGCGAGTCACCCTACCTACTATACAGTATCAGTCAGCGCCCCCCTGGGAAGTTCTGATCACTGTTTGGTTGGGTGTAAGGTTTCCCAAATGCCTCCAACTAAGCTGAAGGAGGTCACTCGTCGCATTTGGCACTACTCGTCGGCGGATTGGGATGGTATGCGCGACTACTTTGCGTCCATCCCTTGGTTGCAGCACTGCTTTGCGGGAAAGGATGCCTCAGCAGCTGCCGATGCTGTTGTCGATGAGATTGGAACGGCTATGAATTACTACATACCGTCTTCCAGTGTCATCGCCAATCGCAGATGACGCCCTTGGTTCAATCGCGAATGCATGGACGCTGTTAGTGAGAAACAGGCTGCATATCGTGGTTGGATCAAGGGTCGTGTAACAAAGGATCCCAACCTTGCGTCCCTTAAAGCAGCCTATAACAAAGCAACCAAGTCTAGCAGGAGGGCTTACATAAGAGCGGATGCCCAGCGCGTTTCACGGATTGGCCAGAAGCTGGTAGCCCGTCCCACCGGTAGCCGTGCCTACTGGAGCCTGGCCAAAGCCGTGCAGTCCAATTTTTGTCGTTCGTCGCTGCCGCCTTTGAGGTATCCCAATGGATTTTTGGCCTATGGCCCCGAAGAGAAAGCCAATTTATTGGCCGACCTTTTTGGGGCTAACTCGCGCATTCACGACCAAGATGACGAACGAACCTGATATAGTTATCAGGCAATGTGATGTCCGCAAGGAACTGCAGACTCTTGACGTGCGGAAAGCCTATGGTCCAGATGGGATACCTCCTATCGTCCGTAAAAGGTGTGCGGCGGAGTTGTCTCCCGTACTGACGCGCTTATACCGCCTCTCATACCAATCTGGTAACGTGCCCCTAGCTTGGAGGGAGGCCAACGTGCAACCTATCCCCAAGAAAGGAGATCGGTCTGATCCGACAAACTATCGCCCAATAGCTGTCACTTCAGTGCTCTGCAAAGTGATGGAGCGGATTCTAAATATCCAGATAATCCGGCACCTGGAACGTCACTCCATTCTTAATGATCGACAGTACGGGTTTCGGCCGAACCGATCAACGGGTGACGTTCTAGCGCATCTAATGCATCTCTGGGGTGAAGCTATCGACAAACAGGGCGAAACCTTAGCGATAAGTCTGGATATTGCTAAGGCCTTTGATCGGGTCTGGCACCGTGGTCTCCTCTCCAAGCTTCCGGCATATGGTCTTCCCGGCCGCCTTTGTGAGTGGATCTCCGGCTTTCTGCGCGAGCGAAGATTGCGTGTCCTTGTTGACGGAGGCACTTCGCGGCTCGTGACAGTTAATGCTGGGGTGCCACAGGGCTCCGTGCTGTCGCCCACGCTGTTCCTTCTGCATATCAATGACTTGTTGCCTTTTGGCAACATTCATTGCTATGCAGATGATAGCACAGTGCACGGTTGCTATTATAAGCAACCGTCAAGCAGCCGGGAGGACCCTGAGAGAAACCGGGAAAAACTTGTCGCTGGGCTCAACCATGTTTTGGAACATATATCGTCGTGGGGCTCCCGAAACTTGGTTGAGTTCAACGCCAAGAAAACCCAGGTATGCGCGTTCAGTTCCAAAAAATCCCCATTCCTTCCACTTCCCCATCTTCAGGGTACAACGCTGACGCTGCAGGACAAGCTCAGCCTGCTGGGGATGAGCATCCGGAAGGACATGAGCAACAAGGACTATATAGAGAGCGTCATCTGTACTGCGTCGCGCAGGCTTGGCATCCTGAACAAGGTGCACCGATTTTTTACTCCAGAGCTGCGATACCTGTTGTATAAAGCTCAGGTTCGAAGGAGCATGGAGTACTGTTCGCACCTTTGGGACGGCTCTGCCAAGTACTTGCTCGATGCCCTATTTTTTTTTTTTTTTTTTTTTTTTTATTGCGACTCGACAAAATGACTGCACCGCGCCTGATGGAAAGTGCGAATACAGTCCAGAGATGAGAGTAACGGATGGAAAACACAAATATCTTCACTCCGTCACTATCATTTTGTCGGTCTGGCCAAATGCACTGGATGTACACCAACTGATCCCTGAACGCGATTCGCAAAAGCGTTTCACTGTGGAGGGTTTTCCGCCGTGTGTACTGTGGTCGCTATCCAGTCGGCACAGAGCCTACCACAATGCTAAGCAGATGGACACTTGTGACGCCCTCGGTCGCCTCTTACGACCCCCACGGGCATGTATGGGGAGGCGACAATGTATTCTTAAGCCGTCGCCCCACGGCTAAAAGCCCTAGATGGACTGCAGCGCTACGCCTTCCGTGTTGTCAACGATCCTCATGTAACTGAGCATGCGGAGTCGTTACAGCTTCGCAGAGATATAGCGTCTCTTAGCGTATTCTATCGTCTGTACCACGGTGAGTGCTCTGAAGAGTTATTCAACCTTGTCCCTTCCTCTCCTTTCCATCAGCGGACCACCCGTGCCGGACTGCGTTGCCACAGTTGGACGGTCAGTTCAATACCGTCCCGCACTAAAAAGTTTGGCAATTCGTTTTTATGCCGAACCATCAAATTGTGGAACCAACTCCCGGCGCATGTATTCCCTCCCCTCTATAACATCGGGTCCTTCAAACGTAGTGTGAAGAAGCATTTGGCCAGACCGGCAAAATGATAGTGACGGAGTGAAGATATTTGTGTTTTCCATCCGTTACTCTCATCTCTGGACTGTATTCGCACTTTCCATCAGGCGCGGTGCAGTCATTTTGCCGAGTCACAATAAAAAAAAAAAAAAAAAAAAAAAAACCAAATCTCGAAAAAAATTCCTGAATTCTTATTTTTATTTAATTGTGGTAAACATCGATTTGCAATCAGCTGATCCTGCTCGATCCAAATATCATTGACTTGCACTTATCCTAATTGATATTTTTAATTAGCAAAAATACAATCTTTTTTTGAAATTCATTATAGATCTGTGGACGGCACTGTAATACTCGTTATAGTTCTGTGTACTTTAATGACATTTTTCAATTCAGCAGCGAATACCATAGACAATATAAATTTAATTGAGAACTAAAAGGGCGCCTTTATGATATAGTTTATGTTATGGAATTATAATTGACAGATTAAAGTACAGGAGTAGAAAAAATATTAAGATCAGTTCAACCAACAAGACAAACAAACTTCAAACTACTTTTGGAACATGGATTAGGTGGTACTGGAGTGAAAAGTGGTAGGTACGTACAGACCCTGGTGATGGCAAAGTACTGGCCTTGCAAGTCGCGCCAGACGCGGTTGCCGTTGACGGCGCGCTCGCGTTCCTCGGACGCGGACAGCCACGACACGATCGCGTGGTCCTCCAGCGACGAGTACTCGCGGCCCGCCGGCACGCTCGACCTGCCGTTGTTTAAAGCAGGGGCTTTAAACACCGCGTTCACAGAAGCACAAGGCAGGCGGACTAGTTTGCCGCTCTTAGAGGTGGACCACTACTGGGGTACCTCAGTAGTACCTCCCTCCAACCAAAAAATAATCGTCAAAAGCGATTCACAAATTATCGCGTAATTAACATACAAAAAAAACACAGCCGAATTCTGCGGCTAAGTGAGAAAATAATTTTTTGAGATATCGTACAAAACCATAACCCAGTTTTAGAACATTGAAATTGTTTCATGATATTTCAGCTGTGCATCGTTAAGGGTAAGTTCCGATAAGTCGAAAACGTTAACTAATTTGAACTGTTTTTAAATGAGAATTTGTGATCTGTTTTTTACTATTTGAAACGGGTATGCCGCGTTTTAGTTAGTGGGCGGCAGAATTGAGAAACACCTCTTTTTCAAAGTCAGTCAAAACGTGTTTCATTCATTAATATGTAATTATATTTTTCTTGTGTTGTTTAAAGTGCTGGTAGATGTGAAGAAATGATAAATTTGAAAAAGAAGCCACTTGATAAAGTCACATATTGATTGACAAATGTGCTTTAGCCGATAGATGTATTCATTTAAATGAATGATATGGATTTTCACTTATGTGCCTAGAATTAGAACTTTATAAACCGACTTAAAAAAAGGAGGAGGTTCCCAATTCGACTGTATTGTTTTTTACTGATTTCGATGATTCTTTCTGTGTTGTAAAAAGGGTACCTCAGCAATGACGCCATTTAAGTTTAAAGAAAATATTCCACCGCTAAGGGTGGCAAACTAAAGGGATGAATCGGGTCTCGCGCATTTTCCGGTAACCGATTACAATAAAACTTGGCAAAGAGTTGTAATTCTGCGAGCTTTTGAGGTCGTAATAAAAAAATTATATTATTGAAAATAATCTACACCATTGAGAAGTCAAATCTGCTTTAGGTCACCATAATATTTTATTTTCATTGCATTTCCAACAAAATAGGAATCATCGAAATCGGTTCACAAGCTTCGCGGTAATCACTGGAGGAATTGAGAATCTCCTCTTCTTCGAAGTCAGTTAAAAGAATGTTATTAGCACGCACTTACATTTCGTTAACTTTCGACAAATTGAGTTCTTAGGTTTCCGCGATTGTTATACATAGGAAATGAAACTATTTTTCCAGATTTAAATCGCGTTGGCGCGCAGGCCCCGAAACGTCGGTTTGTTTGAAAAAACAAATATACACGATTTAAATCCGGAAAAATAGTTTCATTTCGACAAATTGTCACTTAAAAAATGGCAATGACTCTGATTTTGCCCAACATGACAAAAAAATATAAAATGTGTTACTGCACTTGAAGAGCATATTAATTAATTGAAATGTGCTTTTAATACGACTCATGAATAGAACATTTTCTTTTGAAAAAGATGAATGAAAGAACTTACAATTAGCATCTTACCGTGTTATTTTGAGCGGGCGTTTTGTCACCTCGCCTCTCGTCTTGTATAGCGCATCGCCCGCAGCCTTCGCCACACTATCAAACAATAAAATATTTATGACAATAGGGACTGCTAGGGAGCATTTTTGGGAGACATTTGTTCACACGAGCCGGTCAGAAATATCTTTATGTCCATGCGATAAGAGCGAAAAAGCACGTATAGCTTTACAATGACGTGAGATAAAGAATTCATAATTTTTTTAAATTCTCACTCATTCATTCGTTTAGGAAATGAAACTATTTTTCCGGATTTAAATCGTGTATATTTGTTTTTTCAAACAAACCGACGTTTCGGGCCCTTTACAGGTCCCATGGTCACGGTTGACTGAGGTGGTACAGTCTTCAATCAGTTACGTCTAATATTAATGCAAACCACCCTATTTTTTCACTATAGTTACAATAGTTATTAATTAAATACCTTATTTTTAATTTTACAAAGAAAACATTCCAATTTACGCTATATTCAGTTTTACAAATTGTTTTATGGAATGAATTTTTATTAAGTTTAATTTATTATTAATTATTAATAGAAATTAGAATAAACTAAAACAGATTAATTAGTACTGCAGTCTTATGTCTGTTTGGGATTTTTCATTAGAGGAAATACTGGATCTCAAACTGGTGGTACGGAGAAACCATCTTCCCTGTTGAAATTAGGATGTTTTTTAATTTCAATGGCCTCTCGCAGCATCCTGGGCAGATAACGGACTTCTTTTGCAAGGACCTGGGGTTTGTCAAACTTCATTGAATGTGTAGGTTTATCCATGACATGCTCGCAGACTGCAAACTTGAAAAAACAAATATACGCGATTTAAATCCGGAAAAATAGTTTCATTCCCTATGTGTAACAATCGCGAAAACCTAAGAACTCGATACATTCATTCGTTCTTAAGTCATTTGAGAAAACGAAATGTTCTGGTTGGCTAGCGCAAACGGATCACGTTTGTGTCTCATCATCATCGTCATTTCAGCCAAAAGACGTTCACTGCTGAACATAGACCTCCCCTAAGGAATGCCACAACACCTGTCCTGCGCCGCTTGCTTTCAGCGGATTCACGCCGCGTCTACCGGTACGCGGTCGCCACTCGAGAACTCTTCGGCCCCATCGGCCATCTGTTCTGCGAGCAATGTGCCCTGCCCTTTGCCATATAAGTTTTGCAATTCTTAGGGCAATATCGGTTAGTCTGGTTCCCTTGCGGATATCCTTATTACTGATTCGATCTCGCAACGAAACTCCGAGCATAGCCCTTTCCATACCCATTGAGTGACGTTGTTCCTTGTTATGGGGCCCATAGTAAGCGACCACGTCTCAGTGCCGTAAGTCATCAATGGCATGTACGTAAAAAGGAAGGAAGATGGCCGCTCACCCAAGGTGCGAACGAGCAATAGTTTTTATCAAAAAATGAACTTTTGAAAAGAATTTCATTTAAAGCTGTACCTAAGGTTAGGCCATGGCCAGGATCCGATAGACCAGGACTCTAAGGTGGGCAAGGACAACCTTACAATGCGCCATTTCTTTTGGACAATCAAAGCGAAATAAAACACGCTGTGTTAGTTTGTAATAGTACACTCTAAAATCTTGATTAAATGTACTACTGCGAAAGTAATCTGGTCGTGTTTGGTTGTTCCATGTTCACCGATTTAATTACGTCATCAATATCATCATCGTTCTCCGACGCCACCCGCGAGGGGTATTGTCACTAAATATTCATTATAACTATTTTATTTATAATCGCAGTACAGAGTACTAAAAAAACCGAACTCAAAAGTCATTCATCCCCTAGAGGCGAAAAAGGCGGAAAGTTTGCCACCTTATAGATGGAATATTTTCTTGAAATTTAAATGGGATCACATCTGAGGTACCTTCTTTACAACAAAAAAAAGAATCATCAAAATTGGTTCACAAATGGCGTAACATACATATGTACATACAAAAAAAAATTGAGAACCTCCTCCTTTTTTTGAACTCGGTTAAAAAACTGAAAAGAATAACAAGTATTTGATCTGTAACCTAAACTCTTAAAACAACAATACCCAATTTAGAATAAAATTACTACAGTACGCAATGTGCTCAACAAAATTAATAATAATAAGAATGATGTCCGAGTCATAATAATACTAAAATAAATTAACAACTAGCTTTAGTAACTGATGCTGCATATTTGTCCTATTAGAGTAAACTCTGTAATTCTTTTGCGAAAGCCCCATAAAGCGCGAGATACTGCTACTCTCGCAGAGATCTCGCAATTTATGTCGCTCTCGCAATAAATCGCTCTTCAAAATCTTGGCAAATAGATGTAATTCCACGAACTATTGAGATCATTTTTTTTAATAAAAAATGGTAATTTAATGAATTAATTTTATGTTCGATAAACTTATTAATATCAAATAGTAGCTCACGTGGCAGGTGCAGCACTAGAATTCATATTCGACGACCCTTTACGCGCCCGTGAAGACGCGTTCTGTGAGGAAACACGTTTGCGAGATGGTACGGGAGCAGGCATCAGTCCTAGCTCGCACGCGAACCTCTGCGCCTGCGCGCTCCGCAGCAGGCGTTCCATTTCCAGGTCGCGCTTAATCACCACCAGGGGGTTTAATCTACAAATAACAATATTTCAGAAAACCTTTTGTTCTGTCGTTCACCTAACTCAAATAATCTTCAATTCTCTAGTAAACAAATTACACTTAAAATTGTCACATTGATTAAATCTACTACTCATTTGTAAGGCAGATTCCCCCGAGAAGAATGAGGAAGAAGCTCCAGAGGTTGCTCTTTGTTGGCACATGGGTCCTGTCAGTGGGCAGTGCCCCTCAGACCTTTGTGATTGAAAGCTGCATAACAAATGCAGTGCCACTCAAGCACTGCATTTGTTATGAACAGGCGTGTCCCTTACCACCAGGCTTGTGACTTGTTCCCGTCATTTGGTAACACTTAAAAAAAAGTTCATAAATATATTATATAAGACATCTTTTGCATATCATACTACCTATTAATCTTAGCTAGTTTTAAGGTAATTTTAAATTCATGTTTTGTAGTTTTCTCAATAAATATAATTCACATTGAAAAATCATATTTTTTTGCCTACTTTTACAAAAGAGATCAAAGTGTGCATCCTCTAAATATTCTCTAATTTTCTTGAAATTTGGCATACATATCTTTTAGATCACTGAGACTTGGGGCGTAAGCAAAGTGTGCAAAAATTTTATTTTTATTTTTTGCCTAACAAAATAAAACACCCTAATCTACACTCTCTATTCTGCCCAATATTTCATATGTGCTTGTGCAAGCCACAATGTCCTGTTAAGACTCTAGTGAGCATTCTCATGCCGTTCTTGTCCAATGACAGGGCTTCTCTACAGTGTTTGACACTTAGGCAGCTATCAGGGCTTTCGCATGCTGTATGCTAACCCTATACAGGGTTCGGATCTAATACAGGTTTCCCTAACCTTTGCCAGTTCATCTGCTGCCTCATTACCCTCGACATCAGAGACGATACCAACTGTATGAACTATTTAAAATTGTATAAAAAATGGACACTACAAATTTACCCCGTTTGGGTACGAGATAGTATAATTTGCAATGAGGGTTTTGAGAATGGTTTCTTGGTTAATTACCTATACAGCACGGCTTTCTGATATTCCTCGCTGCTGTCAAACTGATACAGGTCAACTCCTATGTTGTGATGCTCAATGTAGCTCCTTATCAGCTCCAAGCACTCCTCAGATATCACTAATTCATGGGTTTCTGATTCTGTAGAAGCTTGCCCAGACTGCAATGATGACTGTACTGGATCACAGACATGCACATTAGATTGCACTACTGCCATAGGTGCATCACTTTCACTATTGGCCTGTTTACTACTTCGGCTTGTTTTAATTGGGGATGTTTGTTTTTCCATATTATCATTGTTTAACATCCGTTTATTTGTGAGATTCATGTTTTCCTTGTCTTCAATGTTAATGTCATTATCTTTATTTGAAAGAGGGTTTTTCAAGAATGCCTTGTCTGTATTTGATGTGAGTGCACATCTGTGCTGAGTGTGGGGCGTTGTCTGCTCCAAGTCTGGCTCAGTTTGCACGAAAGCATCTTTCAGCTCCATGGGTGATTTAAAATTGTTTACATTGTGATTTTCGTCTTTCCTGAAATATTAATAATTGATTGTATTAATTCATGACCACTTGCCTTTTGGAGAGAAGAATACAAGGAGAATCTCTGAGGTGTTTCTGATCAAGAATTATAATTAATGGTTCGTCTGTTTCATGATTTTTAAAGACTAAATAACGTTAAATAGAAAGAGAAGAACTGAGTTACTAAGTTTTGACGCTGTGTTTATTTAGGTACTACCTAATATTTTGGAAAAAAAAAACAAAAATTTGACCTCTTCGATTCGGCCGCAACTCGCGGCAATGCCGGCCCGCGGCGTAGACGCCGTATCGCCTCTTTGAACGATAGCTCCCTCAGCGCGCCGCCGCGTAAACAGAAGATGCGCGCGCGCCGACGCCAACCCGATACGGCGCCGGAGCGGGACACATGTCGCCAGCGATTACCCGTCCACACCACCAGCGATGCCATGCTGCAATAATATCACTCAACAATAGCACAAC